GCTGTGTGGGGTTTAGTTGCTGGTGGGGTTAAACCATGACACTCATGTAAGACAAAACTTACATCGTGCTGGTGGACTCTTGCAGCCTTAAGATCTATTCATCTAATTGTAGAAAATTAATTTTCAGAAGTTTCTAATGTTTAAGGATAGATCATGTTATCTGATTGGCTACAAGGTCTTACTTGGCCTTTATCAGCCAAGCTGCTGTATTTTATTAGGTACCTCTCTGTACAGTCCACTGAGTAAAGCTGTTCATTCCACAGCTTCCCTCATTGGTTTGTTCTAGTGGTTGGTGTATTAAAAAAAAAAAATCCTGATTAATAATTTGGATTTGCATGAATCAGCTCCTCGCCTTTCTTGGATATAAAATAGAGCCTTTTGAAGTATCCAGGATTTTTTTCCAGAGAAGGTATATACACATATATTTGATTTTGTCTCTTTATGTACTCTCACCAAATGTTTTACCTTATCTTTTAAAATACGAATACCGAATCTGATCATGGTATTTCAGTATTTGTATCACTAGTAGCCTGCAGAGAGAGAGAATCATCTACTTATTTTAGAGCTACATTAGAGCTAATGTTAGCACTAGAATCATAGAATGGTTTGGGTTGGAAGGGACCTTAAAGATCATCTAGTTCCAGCCTCCACTAGGACCTTGAACTGTTTGTCGACTGTTACTCCTAAAACCATGACACCTTGTTCCACAATACACAATTCCCATTCTGTAGCCTCACATCCTCTTCCACAGAATAAAGCTATTACTTGATTATATTAAGCTGCATTTTGTTGGAATAAGCCCCCCACTAATGATGTAATTCTGATCATTACATCCTCCACAAATGTAATAAGGACATTTTTGCCTTTGTGTCCAAATTTGAAAACTTTGAAAGAAGTCTTTATGTTTTCTCTTACGTAGGATTGAGACTCAAGTCTAAACTCACTCCAAATGATTTTAAAGCAGTTGGATTCACAGACAGAAATGTACATAAACTAGATGACGTAATCAGTATCCTATCAGATATAAAGACTATTTAAACCTGCAGCTCCATCACTGTGATTAGGCTCCTTAGGCAGTTACGACACTAACCTGCAAATGAACTACTTATGTAGGCTCTGTTTATAGTAAATGGAGAGAAAAAGGCACTTTGAAAACATAATTATTCTGGCTTGTCCTAGATACCTACCGTTGCATGTGTCCTGCTCTAAAAGCGCCTGTTCCTTTCCCATTGACTGTAAAGGGGTTCTGGACAAGTGGCTGAATTGCAGATGTTAACACCGGTCGGTTCAAGCTGCTTATCTGTCTAAAGTCACTAAGAGCTGAACCCAACTCTATTTCACTGCGTTCATCTGCCGATGGATCAAAATTGTCTAGAATATTTCAGTTCGATTGTATGAATGGACGCCACCATATATGTTCTCATGATTTCTGGGGAGTCCCCCAATGAAATGTATGTTGCAAAGGCTTAAAGTACTAAAGATAATACAGAAACACTACCAAAAAATTAGTTACAGGAATGTATAATATGGATGTATAACAAGCTCAATGTATAAATGTTATGTATAGCATAACATGTTATATGCACAGCATAACAATGGTATGTTTAGTAAGGTCAAATAGGTTGGTGTACAGGTTGTTCAGTAAGTACCTGGTTCCTTTTTCATCTGTATACATCTGGAGAATTAGAGATGCTCCCTGAGTGGCCTGGGCTCTGGTAAACAACAATTGTCGGGTTGGATGATTACTGATTTACACAGTTTAGATTATTAGTAAGTTTATTGGTTTACATAAATTAGATGGTTAGTAAATTGTAACCTTTCCACAAAATAAATTAGCTTTTTTGTTGTGTTTTGGTGGTGTTGGTTTTGTTTTGTTCTGTTTTGTTTTGGGGGAGGTTGTTCTGCTGTCTTTTTATGAGGGCATTTGGTATTCCAGTATGACCAATAAATCATGCTGGATGCATCACTGCTGTTTCTTATACATAATAGATCAGCTGCATCCTGCTTCAGTTAGGAGCCTAGTAGTCCTAAATTGTTCTACAGACAGCAAGAGAGCATTTTATACCTTTAGCAATCTGAATTGCTCTCTGAAGATGTCAATCTCTCTTCATTAACTGTGAAGGAAGATTGTAGTGTTCTGCTTAACTACTTCTAATTACTGTATAGACCAAAGGGACCATCAATTAAAAGTTACATTAATTCTAAAACAACTTGAAGTAACAGTTATAACAGTATTGTTTTGACAAATTATTAACAGTGGCTCTGGAAGGAATTTGGAATGTGGCAAAGAATTTCTCCACTGGAAGCCTGAAACCAGCGTCACAGAACAGAAACGTTTTACTTTTACACCCTCGGTTCTACTCAAGGCATGCAGGAATGAAAAGTAAGAGTCAATAGTAAGAAACTTTCACTATAACACCTCATTTTGTAATTGCAGGGTGATACTATTTTGTAATTCATAGACATCTCACAGGACTGTAGATCTGTTTTGTTCGTTTTTTTTTATCAGATTACCTATATGGTCTTATAGTAATCACCTCTGGGCGTCTTTCTGCAGAACTAACCCTCCTCTGCCTTTAAGCAGCCAACAGACTTGAGGTCTTTGCATAAGAAACCTGTTTAGGACTGCTGTGTTGAGTGACCTTATTTCATATGCCGCAACCTTTTCTAATAGAGTGGAATAATCACTTGTTTCTTACTCAGTGGTGAGTGTTGGGTTTGTGTACATAACGAACCTTACTTGCCTCTCTTAACATCCAACCTTAACTAAATGGCTGGAAAAGCTCTCCTTCCAATACACCTCCTGAAATGTCAGGCATTTTAACATTTGCCTACAATGGTCAGCTGGTGCTTGGGGCATGGATTTCTTTCTTTACAGTCAGTGGAGTGTGGCTGTTGCAGAGCAGATCTGTTCCTTATGAGCTGGTGGATTTTAGCATAGTCTGCTCCATGTGCCCACCTTCTCTCTTTCAGTGAAATATATTAACTTTGTAGTGGAAGGTGAGAGCTTCCAACCCTAAGGAAACACACAGCTTTGCAGAATATGTGAACTCAGCATATTTTGCTGTTAAATGAAACCTCTTCTCATGTTCTTGGGGGCTAATGGTTTAAAAATACAACTAGCTGCTCGACTGGCACCTCTTTCGTCCTATCTCGATCTCGTGAGCTTTGAAGATAGTGAGATCTTGGTTACAACAGCTGCATGAATTAAGTTATTGCTAGTGTAAGAAGTGTTTAACCAGTACAGCCTTCTTCCATGGCTGCCTTTACTCTAGAAGTAGTATTTGTAGGAATATTTTGATTATAAAGCAGGCTTAATCTATGCTAGGTATTAACTGCAGTCACTTCTGGTAATGTACTTAAACCAATAAAATTTTAGCCACACCATAGAAAATACAACCAAAGTGCCTCAGCATTTGGAGACGTTGGCTGAGCTCATGTACCTGAGGCTTCTAGTGAAGGCACACAGAGTTTTCCAAGATCCTGATCCCCTCCATTTCCTGTTAAGATCTGTGAGAGAGGCGCAGCTTTAAAACACAGCAGTTTATTCAAATTGTTTAGGTGCTGAAATTTATGCAATCTGTAGGCTATGCTTTGGGAATTTAGATGCACCTTCATTCCTAAGGACTGCTGGTGGAGACAATCGGTGCTCTCCTCACTAGCTGTAGTGCCTGTTTTGCAGCAGAATAGCCAGGTAGCATGAGAGAAGGGGGGGCAGAAAAGAAACAAGACAGGAGAAAAACTGGAAGGAATCTGGCTTTAGCTCCTGTACTCACCAAACCATTTCCTTTCACACACCCTCTTCTGCGTAAGGATCGGGAGAAGAAATGAGGTGGTAATACATTTATTGGGAGAAGGAGTAGGTACAGGCTATGGAAATGGACAAAAAAATAAAGAGGGGCTTCTAGATAAAAGATGAACCTAGTGTGTTTAGTGCCAGAAGGCAAGACACCAGCAAAAGGAAAAGGAAGAGCGCAGACAAAGGGAATGAAGGAGGAGAAATAGAATGAAGGTCAGGAACTCTGGAAGAGAACTGGAGAGAAGAGAACACAGTTCAGCACCACAGAGATCCAAACTGAAAGAAATTATGAAAAAGATGCAAGAGAAATAAGTAGAAGAGGCAAAAATAAAAAAATGTACACTCATGTTGCGAATTTACTTAAGTTAATGCATTTATTTTTGCTTCTCCCCTTTACTGCCTTTCCCTAAAAATGACCAGTGGTTTGTGGGGCTCACTATGTGGTGTCTTGTCCATCCTTACAGTGGATCCTCTTTTTTTACAGATTGCTGAACTTTGGTGCTGTGAAGACCTGAGCCTGTTTCGATGCATCAAATCAAACATCAAAATAAGTAGCTGCTTTGGAAGTGTAGATTGGTATTTCTAAGATTTTGAGGAAAGTTCTGCTTGAAGAGGGAGCTGTTTCCTCTTTGTTGTTGTTTTATTCATATCCTCGTACTGCTTTTTTATTAGATGTTGTAGTAGCCAAACCCGATCCATATTTCATCCAGTGATGAAGATGTCACAATCCAAAGATTACAAAATGTTCTCGCTGACAAAAATGTGCTACTGTGAAACTTGACATTTTCGTAGGCTTCTCTGTGGCAAAGTGAGTCTAAATTCCAGCAGAAGATTGTAACGCAACAGAAGAGGTGCCTTAAAATGCCTCAGGCTGAGTTCGTTCATTAAACCAAGCAGTTCAGAAGCCAAGAGTTTGTGAGTCAATATCCAGGCTGATTAATAAAATTTAACATAAATAAGCCTCCCTGTATATGTCTCTATATGTGTAAGAGTTATCGTAGTGTCAAAGAACCAGAGAGGCAGCATGGAACCTTAAATATCCTGTCTCTTAACTCTCACTCTTAACCATGATTACAGTGAGGTAGTACCAAGCGATCATTAGTTTGTTTTGTATTATCACACCACTTAGGAAACAGGTGTGGATCCTTCTAGGTACTGTATGAAACCAGAACAAAAGATAGCTTTGAAAGGTCATGGATGATTGGAGGAGGTACCAGAGACAGGAGTGACATCTGCAGCTACAGAATAGCTTCAGTGCTCTGGTAGCAGACGAGAGGCTGGAAGCTCTCTCCAGCAAAGCCTCTGAGCTGGCTGAGCCTGAACCATGCAGGAGGAAGAGAAGTGTGATAGCAGTTGGAGACTCCCTGCTGAGGAAGATGGAAGCTCTCATTTGCTGCCCCAACATGCTGCCTGTGGAGGTTTGTTGGGGGGCCGAGGTCTGGGATGATGTGGAGAGCATGCTGAGTCTTGTCTGGGCCTCAGACTTTTACTCCCTGCTGCTCTTCCACATGGTCACCAACGATACTGCCAGGGGAGACATGGGGTGTACCAAGCATGACTCCATTGCTGTAGGGCGAGTCAAAGACATAGGTGCCCAGATGGTTAGGGCTGGAGGAATGGATGGATCCTGTAGGCCAACTATTGTTTGCACAGCTGGTGCTGAAAATGGGGAGTTAGCTTTTATGGCTATGGGATGTCCCCTCTTTGAGGACTAAGAACTGCTAGGAAGAGATGAGATTCACCTCAACGAGTGGGGCAAAAGCTGTGTTTGCGCCATATCTAGAAGGGTCCATGACGGTTTCCTGAGTGCTGTGATAACATGAGAAATACATAGGAGTGATCATTTGCCTGGCCAGCCTGGGGAGGAGAACTATAAGTAGGTGTGACAGGGGAGGGAGATGACAACCCACGATCAAGTGAGGAGGTGGTGAACCAGGTTGGTAGGCATGATATTTCCTGTCATTGTGTTCAACAATCTAACTTAATGATCAGTCTTTGCCATATTTCTAGAATAATTAGAGTTGAAGAGCTCCCTATTCCCAGTTATACCTCAGACTGGTAATTCACGTCTTTCCTAAGGTGTGATCCTAAGAAGTGGAGATGAGATTGGTTTCTGTGGCTCTCAGATCCTGAGGAAGTATCTAAACCACACTGAATATTGTTAAAAACGAAGAGTCTCAGTCAAAGCTAGACTTTGTTTTCCTTTGCTTTTTTCACGATTATCTATGAATGAAATGGGATTTTTGATTTTCTGGAACTCTCCTCTGACATTAAAAGTTTGGGTTTATTTTCACTGGTATCAGTGAGAAAGGCAATAATTAGTTGGCTCCAAGCTAACTCTTTTTAGCATTTCCATTTGAATTCCAAATGAATTGGCACCGAAAATTGCACCTGAGGCACTAGAGGAGTAGCTGCTTTTGAAAATGTTATTCTCACTTTTTAGATGCAAATTTGATCATGAACCACACAATAATGTTTAAAAAACACTGGATTTTCAGATAGAGGATTTGATTAAGCTTGTTGCATCTCACTTCTGCTCCTTGCTTCATTTTTATTCTACTCCGCTCCCTCTGCTTTCTAATTCTTAGTAATTTTTCTTCATGGTCTTGTTTTACAATTTTCCAAATGAAAAGACGTTCTGGGTCTATCCTGGATTCCTTCACTAGCTCAGTTTTGCTGCAACAAAGGCAGATTTGTGAATCTCATTTGCTCCTTTCCTCCCTCTTCCTTTTTTGTGCAGCGTTGTACAACAGTGATACGTCTTTTAGATCTTTTCTACTGAATATTTTATTTCAGCTACGAGGCTTGGGTAATTCTTAGCTAGTCCAATATATTCATGCTCATGACCTTTTTATGTGTCTCATCTTTCATTTGAATGAAACAATGCAATTTGTTTAAATATCATAACACTGCATAATATTATAGTAATATTATAAATATTACTATGATATTTATAGTATCTCATTAAATGGGGTGTCAAGTAATTTAAATTAATTGTGCTCATATTGTATCATAGTGACTTTTTACTGTCTAACTGTTCAGCTACCCTTTTCTCTTCGATTTTTTTTATTTCCTTTCCAGACTGAACACTACTGTTTCAAAAGACAAATGTTATCATTGCTTCCACATATTAATAACAGTGTTCAAACACTGACATCTTTCAAAGGCTGAGTCTACGTTATCAAGCAATGAAGCACAATAGGAGGGGGTCAAGTTATTAAAGAAATTGGTGTTGAGAGCCCCATAACTAGACTATAGGTGGTTTAGGAGGTTTCCTTCAAACTAGAGCTAGTGTTGTCTCCTAGACTGAAACGTCACCTCAATGCTTGAGGTTCAAAGATGTTTGAAGAAAAGCTCTGCCACAAACCCTTGCCCTCTGGCCTGGGGAATGCTCAGGGTGTAAAATGAGAGCATCAGGGCTAGTTGCACATGAGTGCCTCTGCCACTGTTGCTGCGTAAGATGCAGTCCAGTGCTTCAAAAAAACAAGGAAGATTGAAATCCATGATAACTGCTAACAAATATCCACAGAGTCAAATTCTGGCTTGCTGGTGCACACAGGCATGTCAAAGTGTCTGAGGATCAC